TACAAAGCATGTCTAACAAATAAATTCGAGCAGCTTTATAAGCTGAAATTGCATTTACATTTGACAGCCTGAAAAAACTCCTTTACAAGTCTGTGTAACATATTTCAGAAGCGTTAAAAAATATCATAAAGTACAAAAGATGTAACGGAAAGAGGGCATTTTCTTTTTTCCTTAGATTCCGTTGCGTGTTAAATGAAAGAACATTTTTCGGCCTATTCACATAAGAGCTATTACAGAATATAGGGGCGAGATGACGAAATATCGGCCTAAACTTTCTTTCGAAAATTTATACTAGGTACTTTTGAAGAGTAAGCACGGCTGCAGCTTTGGCAATACCTGCCACACCTATCTTTAGTTGATTGCATACTTCTCAACGTTGTTAATGTACCCGATTGCCGCTACCGTCCGGCTTGCGGGACGCAAGATTGATTGATCTTCTCGGTCGATGTACGTGGCAAAGACGATGGCTTTTGATTACGTTAACCCTTTATATGGCAGTTGTGCCATATGACAATTACTGGACGAAATGCGTGCAAACTTTTCAAAAAAATTGCCAAGTAAAGGTATGAGGAAAAGACATGCTGCATTACTTTAATCCTCTATATTTCCTTTTTTCTCCGAGAAGAAATAAAAGCGAGAGATAAAATACTTCCCGTCTCGGCAAACGCCAAGTTTCCTTCCCGTCTTCATATATATATAAACTGGCCCTTAGCAAGAGCGCGACCTTCTTTGACAAATACAATCATGGTTAAGGGGATCAATTTCGAAAACCCTCGTGCATTCCATGAGCGAAGATAAACATTTTAAATGCGTCGTTCTGTTTATTCATCTGACTCCAAAATTATCATATGAATGGGTAAACTTTACGAAAATGGAAAAAAGACAAGTTACTGCAACAATTTCATTAACACGTATCTTTTTCATAATAGAGTAAACAGTGACTTCTATAAAAATTTCTTTCATAATCAACAAACACCGATAAATCGAAAAAAGAATAATCTTGTTACAGATGGAGAAAAAATATATGCGTGGTAATAGGTTCAAGTAAAGTAATGATTTAATGCTCCCTTTAATGTAGCGATTACATTTCAAATTAATATATATCGGTGTTTGACTACATTAGAAGAAATCATTTATAAGATTAATGGCTGGAGAATCAATTTGAGTGAATTAAAAAAAAGAAAAGCAGAAACTATAAAAACCTTAAGAAACTATGGCAAAATTTACATGTAATAGCAGTCAAATCGACTGCCCATGTCTGGCAGTTTAATGCCCAGAGCCTTAGATTGATAGAACGCATCAAAAATTCTATATGTCAATGTCATTAATGTCAAAGTTTTCAAGGAGAACACAAGCCAAACTTATTACGTAAGCAAATATTTTAGGGCACTCCACTATATGACCATTTATTATAGGCTGGCATCTCAACTACAGCAGTGCACTGCCACAGTGCCACTCTGATACTGGAATGTGGAGTAGCACATAACATTGATAACAATTGATAAACTAAAATGATATTTATAGATGTCATATCTGGAAACTTCAGCAAGTTTGGTGAGCTAGACTTCCAGGACTTTCTACGAACTTAGTTTGAAGTACGTCAAAAACCAACAGCACTTTGCACACACCATATTATTTAAACTTTACATTCAATGCTCAAGACCATTTGTGTTCGTCGCCATATTGTTTTTCACGGTAATTCATTTAATTATCAATGCATCTAAAGGATAATTTCCAGGGATTCGATTTACCACGGGCGGAGAGGGAGGCTGAGCCTGCAGACATCCACCAGTTAGAATAGTAGATTTAAAACTCACGCAGTGAAAGAACAATAATTAAATATTAATACATCTCTTTGATTATACAGCATACGACACGGGACGCAGGTTCAACCAACTCATGAAATATTTTAAAGAAGCTTTGCCAAAATTACACTAGCAAACGTACGCAGCAAAATATTTAGTTATTAATATTACTGTTTTTACATCTTGTATTAAGATATCGTCCAAAATTTGTAAAATGTTCATAACCCATAATCTTAACATGTATTTGTGGAAATTGTTTTATCAATAAAACCTTTATAGATATGTCATTTACATTTAGTCGGGTTATACACGTCCATACTATTGTATACTGACGTACATAAAGAGTGCAAATATTTTGTCTAGAATTAACCACAAAAATCAGAGGAAATAGCCAATCGTAGTTTTAAACATACGCGTAATTAAAACCACGCACTTGACATTACTAGTCACGCAAATGCACTTAAGTTTAAGTACAGTTTCAGGTACGTTATCCGTGTGGTATAACTGCACCTAGTTAAGCTAGAACATTAAAGCCTCGCATCATAAGTGTAAAAATATAAATCACAAAAAAGCACATTGTGGTTGCAATATTCATTCTCACTTGGCAGTAACATTGAAAAAGTATTTAACGGAATCAACGCTAAACTATAAAATACCTACTGTAAAACAGTTATCTCAAATTTCGACATCCAAATCGAGGAAAAAAGTTTGTCTCTCTTTTTAAACGTGGAAATATATGTGTGTATGTGTGTATAAAAGTATGTATGTATGTCATTCCAGGCATGATAATTAAACTACTAATAAAAAAGCATGCTTTTAGTTATATTTTTAAGCCGGGTTTTCTTTTGACTGCATGGTGTCAAACTGAAGAGCATGTTCATTTATTTGAAAATGTGGGATTGTTATGTAGATAGTTTACGTTTGTCAGAGCCCTGAATTTCCAATTTATTCGTTCATCAATGGTCCTCGCCTGTTTAACTTACTGTTAAAAGTGGAATAAGGGCGAGTAATACGAACTCAACACTTGACATCGCTGCGACAGATATGCGGAACAAGGAAATTGAATTCATCAGGACATATTTCAGTAGTGTTGGACAACAAGAGCATTATTTGCTGGCAGAATATAAAGGAGGAGATGAAAGTTTGGAGGGGATCTTAGAATCTTACGCTTTGTTATCGTTGACATCATTTGTTTTTTCGCAAACGCACAACAAACGCAAAGACCATAACGCTTTTCAATAGCATACAGTCCATAGCATCAAAAAGTACGGCACTGCAAAAATACAATATGTAACGGAAAAAAGTGTTCATTGGAGTTTATTTTACAAATTTTAATTTACGCTAGTTATTAAAAAGTACTAACGGACCTAAGAATCATCTTTACGTGTTTTTATAGCTCCACCCGTTTTCGAAGATAATAAAGGCATTGTACCAAATGCGTTTTTACAAAATCCATTTTCAATAGAGAGATCAGAAGCTAGGCACTGCATACATGAATCAGAAAAGGTCAGATTTCAAACGCTGTATTACATCGAGATGATCAAACAGTTATCACATTTTTAAGCAACAGGCTAAGCAAAATGACCATTTTTAAGTCTCGCGAGGAGGAACAAACAAAAAAATCTACAGAGCAAAATTACGCCACCAAAACATATCAAAAATTGCAGAACAGTCAAAAATTTGGCTGCCCAGCAACAATCCAGATTCGTGAAATAAAAGTATTTAAGGACTACTACCTCGTCAAATACCAACCTGGACGCTCTACATTTACAAACATGTAACGATACTCCCGGGCTCAAACCATTTTCTTATTACGATCATTTAGACAACAGAGTGAACAACTTGCTATCGACTACATACGTTTTTTAAGCAACGTCAGACGCATACGCCAACAACTCTGGTTCAACCACCGCTGCAAGGATTTTAGTCTCGTTCCGGCAGGACTTAGAATTAAGTCCCCTTTGAATACACAAGAGGCTATTCAGATTGTAAAATCCGGCAGCAGACGACTGATACGAGCACGGATTAACGACTGTCACAGACGAATCAACTATTACATCAAACAACAAGAACAAAGACTGAACAAACTGAAAGAACTCATACCAACGACAGTAAGTGATACTTTACTTTCTACGATACAAACTATTGCAGTGAAACGAGCAAACAAGACAGAGCACAACACCAAATCTAACAACAACAAAAACTTGAACGTTTAAAACAAACTAAAACACGTACAAGACATAAACATGACGATAACTGGTGAGGAATATTTCTTCCCGCTCAATAGACGAAACTGAAACGCGACTACTATCTTACGGACTAAAACATTTCATAACACCTAGACGAATCCCGACTGAGACGATAGTATCAAGTGTCGAGGCTGTCCTGGCGTATCAAAGAGACTTGTCAGAGACAACCAAAGACGAGATCAGAAGCAGGATAGCCTCCACTTTACAATCGTCCTCTATACGTGACAACAACTTGACAAAAGACGAACAACAAGCACTCAAACGTAGATATGATCTTATAAACTTTTCTAGTTTATACGAATATTTATTAATGGAGGAAAGAATGGGCCTGAGAGGGATGTTACATTTATGTATTTTAGGAAGACCATACAATATACCTATTCGTGAACCAGTAGGGTAATGTTCTTTTTTATACGAATAATGATTAATGGAGGATAAATGGGTCTGAGAGGGATGTTATTGTTTGAAAACCAATCATGTTGTAAATTTGATTTTACGTGCGGAAAGTTTTGCCTTGTGGAAAATGAGCTTAGGTACAGTGGCTTGAGGGGACTTGGGAGGAAAAGTGTATTAGACGCAATAATTTTACTTATTTATCAAAAAGTAAGAAAAGCATGAAATTGATAAAATTAAAAATTTCACATCGTTTTCAAAAAAATGTGCATAGGAAATTGTAATTTTCGTGAAAGCTCAATAGCTCATGAAGAACGTGTTTGAAAATTCACTTGATTGTCCAAATAGTTGATATACAGCACATTACAAAATTCATACAAAGAAACTTTTTATAGAAAAAATATTGTTCCTTACAATTTTCAATTATCTCTGACTAAATACATCTTTTTTATAAATACTTATGAAAACAGTCATGCATTACTACACTATAATTTATGAAGAAATCAAGCCTCGTTCACACAACCGAATAACTATCAAAGCTGGTCAATTTTCATGTCTTTCAAGCCCTGAATGGATTTTTAATATCAACCGATCAAAATTTTAGTCTAACCTTTTAAACTATCAAATGTTTGAAGGTGATTATTGCTCTTTGACACCAAACGATGATGTTGTTAACTTGGTAACGTATGAAGGAGGTCTTGTATTTCACGACTTCATAATGAAAATGATAATTTATTTGATCAAGTAAATTGGAGTTTGGCAACTATTTCGCTTTATTAGTCATTCTATAAAAAATTCCTCTGCCACCTCATTGCAAAAATTGGCCATCAAAGAGCTTGCGTATATAATTTTTGAGAGGCAATTATGCTTTTAAAACCAGCTTAAAACATATGATAATGTATGAAAATGGAATGGACACGTTAGCCTTAACTATTTTTCCCCGTTAACGTCAGTTACTGGATTTAATATCCTACATTCCTTGAGCTGTTATATTTACCTGAAAGTTTTAATGCACTTCGTACTTCATTCCGAGATTTAGCACTATATTCTGCAAGTTTATTAGAACGAATGTTCATTTTAGTATGTTTACGATTTTCAGTTTTTAAGGCATCACTAAGATCTTTTGCATTTTTATCTGCAATATTATTATATTTAATGTTCAATTCGGTTAGTTTACAAGTATCACTAGTCAAAGCTTCATGAAGATGTTTTGCACCTACATTGCCTAGGTTGTTTTTGCTCATATTCAATTTCATCAGGTTACAATTTTCACTTGTTAAAGCTTCACTAATATATTTGGCACCTTTTTGTGTTAGTTTGTTAGAGCTAATATTTAATTCAGTAAGTTTACAAGTTCCGCTCTTCAAGGCTTCACTAAAATACTGAGCACTTAGATCTGTTAGCTTGTTATCACAGATATACAAAACACTAGTTTTACAAGACTCACTCCTTAAAGCTTCTTTAAGATGAACGGCTCCTCCATCTGTTAGCCTGTTACCACAAATATACAATTTTGTAAGCTTGCAATTCTTGCTTCGCAAAGCACGACTAACACATAAAGCACCTAAAGCTGCTAGTTCGTTTTTTTCAATATACAGTTCAGTAAGTTTACAGTTCTCACTTTCCAAAGCTTCACTGAGACGATGAATACCTTTTTCTGTAGGTTTGTTATCGCTAAGATTTAACACAGTAAGTTTACAATTCTCACTCTCCAAAGCTTCACTAAGATGTATAACACCTTTATCTGCCAGCCTGTTGTCACTAATATCCAATTCAGTTAATTTACAGTCTACACTTTTCAAAGATTTGCTGAGAAATGCTGCACCTTCATCTTCCAGTTGGCAAGAACTAATAACCAACCTAGTCAATTTGCAATTCTCACTTATCAAAGCTTCACTAAGATACTTCGAAAAATTATGATTTACAGAGCATGAGTGTAACTTTAAAGAAAGTACATTACAGGCTGTCATTGATGATAAAAATTTTTTCATTCTCAGACAACTATGATTATCAAGCATTTTGCAATCACTAAACTGTAATTCAGTTATGTGTTCACATTCAGATAGAAAGTCGAATATTGCACTAGAATCAACAGGCGTGAATGAAACACCGGGCATAAAGATTACTCCACTGTTAGACCATATGTTTGTACAAGCTGACATTAATGCATCTCTGTCTTGCAACTCGTACAAACACTTAACACCGAGAAAACCGAGCGTTTGATCACTTTCACAGCGAGTCAGACATGTCACCCACTTTTCAAGTCTGCAATCGTAAAAAAATGTACACATAATGCTAATTGCTTAGTAGATTTTATAAGCATGTTTAAATGTAATATGAATAGTACTTGGCTTTAATTTATAAGAAAGTACTGCTACTAATTTTTTGGATTGTCAATCTGGCAAGTATCAAAAGTGCAAAAAAATTTATATTAATCATATGTTAGATGATGTCTGCTGGAAGAGAAATAAATTTTTCAGATTATATTACTAAGGATAACCAACTATTTCTTTTAATATGAAAAATGTGTTCATCTTCATTAACTTCAGCATTTAATTGTATGATCGACTGTTCATTTAAGCTACATGCAGTATTACCATAGCACATTAGTTAGATCTCTTTCATTAAATTAGAAATTTGTATAAAATGAGGGTTATAGCGTACAGAAAACCAAGCAAGTGCATTTCGTACATCTAAGAGTATTAACATAGGTTATGATTGCTAACGATAAAAATATTCGTTAAATCAATGTAATCTGTATACCTGCTTTGAAATTCACGCATTTTTCTCTTTTTCTGTTCTCTCTTCATGCTTCCAACTAAGCCAGCAACAAACTCTACCACCAAATGCCATTTAGGATCTGCCACATGATCATCCAAAAACTTTCCAAGATTCTGCCAATCGTCAACAATGCACCAAGCAGCAAGAAATTCTTGAAGCGTTAAGTGTAGAAAACAGTAAAGATCACGTCGTTTATCTGGTATCTTATGTAATAAGCCACAATTGACATAATCATGGAAATCTCCAAAACTAGGTTCCTCAAAAATTAACTTTCTTTCCTCAATTCCCTTTTTAGCAAGACTTTTCATTTTCTGTACGTCATTCTCAAGTTCTTTCGGTAAATCTTTAACAAGATAACCTCTAATAGGCTTTCGTATTGATCCATCCTTACAACGTGGATGGTGTCTCCACAGTAAAATTTTTACAGCTCTTTTGTACAATTCAGTGATCGTCTTCGGTATATCCTTTGCATCATTTATATAGCATTCCTTCAGTGTCAGGCAGACAATGTAAGTGTTGACGGGGATGTAACAAAAGCTGCGTAGTTCCAGGGAGCTATCAATGCAATTCAAAATCAACTCAGCAGTACTCTTATTTTCACCACAAAATCTCTCGACATACTCCTCAATTTGATTCTTAAAAAAGCCCAAGATCTCCACAGTTCTTTCAAACTTAATACAATTAAATGCATATTCAGCTGTGGGTCTCGATGTTATGAGCACAGTGACACCTGGCAGCAATTTTCCCTCAACCAACATACACACCAGTGTAAACACCGGCATTTCTGCATCGGCACAAATGGAGCCATCTGTTCTAAGATTTTGACTATCCAACGGTAGCTCATCAAAACCATCAAAGATAAGGACAACGTTTCCTGGATTTAACAAAATAAAATCGTAAATTTTTGGAAACTGCTTATCTGAAAATCCAACGCAATCACCGAGCATTTCTTTGAGGGTAATGTCGCCTTTCTTAAAAGTACGGCATCGCATTAAAAGAACGAGTTTATCTTGCAAAAGATAATGTTCTTCACATTCGTCTGTAATGTTCTTCACATTTTCATCGACACTGCTTTTCCATTCATGCACAAGTTTTTTTGTTAACATAGTTTTACCAATTCCTGGTCTTCCAATAATCAAAAGTGATCGTGGATACGACTGATCTTCCTTTTTCTGCGTTACTTTGAAAATTTCTGTCGCTTTGGTCAGGTGTGTTGCGTCACTGTGACTTTCAAGATGACAATGAAAGATTTCATTCCTTCTAAAGGTGTTTGGGTAAGCATTTTTTAGCTGTCGTTCTGCTTGTACTATGACGTTGACATAAATGTCATCAAGGTTTCGCCAAGAGTTCTGATCATCTCCAAAGTCGTCGTGTATTTCAAATACTTTGTAAGTGTGAAAGTCATTTTTGATTTTATTAAGCCATTTTAGAAATCTTTTACGTTTTCCTAACAAGTAAACTGAACGAAATTCTGTTTTGAAAGAACGGTCAATGTAGTTCACATAGGCTAAGTAACACAGCTCTAACAATGTCAGTGATATCACAATGACGTCAGCAATAACTATAAATAGTATTAACCTTTCACTTTTACCACCGTTTAGATTTATACAATCAATATCCTCATTTGACAAGAATCTTTTCATTACTTTTGAATAAAAAGAACAGGAGAAGTCGATGGGATATTTGATTGGGTGAAGAATGGCAACAAATACCGACAAAAACACAAGCCGTGTAACCAAGTATGCGATGTAAATAAAAAACGTAGACGTAGATTTTTTCACACAAGCGGACTGAGGAGTTTTTTCGCTAGGGGATAGTTGGGAATCTTCATTAAGCTGAATGACGAAGGATTCAGTGATGTTTGATGAACAGGACGTTGATGGGAATTCATTTCTAATCGACGGAGCACTTTCACCACTACCATGTACAAAACGGCGCCGTACTTGAGGAGATGAACGATTGTCTTGAAGGTTACTGGTGTCGCCTTGAATATGATTTGTTGGTGAAGTCCTTCTATCTTTATTTTGATAACCTGTTGTGTTAGGTTGATCAATTTTTCTGTTGTGATATTCTACCAAATATCCATAAATGATACTGAGAACAAAGACAACACCAAAGTTAATAAGAACTGACATAAACAGCGAAAGTGTTTGGGTCTTTTCGTACTTTATCCAACAGTTGGATTCAATATAATGGATAAGAGCTGGTTGTTTTTTTCTTGCTGTGAAGTCATTGTAACAATGAAATGAGGTTTTTGCTGACAAATATGATGAAATAACAAAAGATATGGCACCAGAAACGCCAAATAAATAGAGCAGTAATCTTCCAAACAAATTAAAACTCGTTTGAGGAATGTAGTCAAGGTATTTTTCCATCTCTGTAACCTGCATTTAAACAGTAAATGCTTAAATGTCAATGTACTTACATTCTGACTCCTACGGTAAATCTTATACTAAGTTTTCATACATAATTACGTAATAACGGCTTTTCGTCAAGTGTATTTGACATCAAGAATAATGGTACTCATTTAGAGTGACTTAACACCAACAATAATCTTAGCTATATTTGAATGACCATGAAACGAACCAACAGTGTGCACTTGTATCAATTATAAGATGCCTGAATATCTAATTACTTACATTGCATGTCTTCACAAGATAAAGACTACAAAATTCATTGACGTTTTCACAAAGTAACTTCTGTTTATGATGATTTAAAGTGAGCGTATCATAAGAAATGAGCTAACTTCTGCAAATTTCTGCATATAATTCAGCTCTGCTTAATTGATTATATTTTGTTACAGTCGTGGCGACTTTAATTACCACTTGCTTTATACTTTTTGAGTATTTTACTGCATCTTCACAATGTTTAGTTACGTAATCTTAAAAACAAATCAAATACGTCAATACTGTGCTCTAATCATTATTATTGACAACCATAACAGCCCATGTATAATTTAGAGAATAAAAATTTAATACACTGACCTTTGCTTAATAACACTGTTTCAATTAATGCATTTCCTGTGTCGAACAGGTAGGACGTCTTTGGGACAAATGAATAGACATTAAACTAAACAAACTTTGGTATCCAGTTAGATTTTTGTGACTTTAGATTGGTTCTGGCGCGTTTACCACAAAACTATTTCAACACTTCGAAATGAAACCGTGGCGTCAAATAATAATATAATAGCTTTACTTCCCTGCTGTTTTTTGACACTGAAAATGCAAATATTTTTTTTAAATTTGCATACGACTGCAATTTTCATATGGCTTTATTCAACAAATTTTACATACATAGTGCAGTGGAAAAATTTTTTTTAGAAATTGAGGAGTACCCAGACAATCTTTGATCAAAAAGATCATCGTCGAAGAAAACGAATTTGTTTTAGTAAAAAACCCGAAACAACAAACTTATTTTATTTATTGAAATCTGTGTTCTAGTTGAGTGAAGATACAAGCATTTAATAGTCTTATGTAAAACTAGATTTCACAATTCACAAACCTTTTACAAGCACTTTACTTCATTACCAGGACTTATAAACACGTCAACTCACAAATAACCAACAATATAAATTATCTAATCTAACGACGTCAATGCCACTTGTGTTAGATTAGCCAAAGCCAATCTCCTCAGAAATAATGAAATAAATACATGCAAAATATTAAACGTTCAAGTAAACGTATCAACACCATGTTCCAGAGTATAGACAATAAAAAATGTTTGGCTTTAATGGGAATCTTGTCATGGTATGCTTTAATCGAATTGATTCGGATTTTGAACGAAAATCCTGCTAAAAATGAAAGTTTAAACATTTTTCATGATTACGAACTATATTTATTTGTATAAGGATGAAATTGTTCCACTTATATATGAAATGCCGTAAATTTTATCAAAGCTAAAAAGCCGAATTTAGATAAACTTTTGTTAACTAATCACAAAAGTTCCTGAAGTTTCTAAATGCTACGCTTAAATGTGACGTGAAATCTAAAGAATATGAAACCATTTTATGCTCACGTATATTCAATCTAACTTTGATGTTATGGTCTTTTGCGTCTAATGTTTTCTCTGTCCAACTGTAAGACCGATGTCTCTCGCGTTTTTTATATTATGACCACAAAAAAAGGAATACTCGATTGTGCTCAGAACCCGTAAAGTTTAAATTTTGTTTCCATGCGTGTTGCAGAGCGCATATTAGCTGCTACTATTCCAGTCAATTGGTTAAGAACGGAATAGTGAGGAAAGACGGGTTTCCATGGCATTTTTTGTAAAGAACAGGATAAGAAAACTTAAAAAATAACTTATTTACAGCCTTAATTATGTGCATGCAACAGATTATTTATGCCATACTTTAAAAATCATTACAAATTTTTTACTCTAAACCTCTACATTTCATCATAAAACGCATGCATAAACATATTTAAAGTGCTTATGTGACAAATTTTACCCATCACTCTTTTATTAGCTAAATTAAAAGTTTGGACTATTTGCAGAACTACGAAATATCGATGGAGCCGAAAAGATAAATATAAGCTCGTTAAATTTGCCTCTAGTGCTATTTCCGAACTTTTTACTACGCCATATTGACACTTGCGACGTAGATAGTTGAACACGTCTGTTCCGTCGATATGATATTATATTATCGTAGGTGATTGTATTATTGATTTTCTTGTAAAGTAAATTTACATTTACATTTACATTTACAAACATGTATTAAAATTTACATTTACAAACATGTATTGATTTTCTTGTTTCAATAACTAATAAATACACAAATTTCGATAAAAAACAACAGAATGAACAAGAAAAAGTATTTTGAAGACATATGGCTTCAAATCATTGCTCAGACAGTTCGCTATCGATGTCTGAATCTGTTTCTGATTCGATTTCAGTATCAGTGGGTTATGTTGAGCAATCAAATAACTTTGCGTACGATAACGAGCCCCTCGCAGAAGCTCATGATAAAGTACGCACTCCAGACGATCCTGATGGAATTTTGCTTTCCACATTAGAGGAACGAAGTGACACTACAATTACACTCAATAGTTGTTTTTCACATATGCTCCATTACTTCATGTTTTCTCCTATTTATAGTATACCTAAAACCAGTCCATGAATCACAATGCTCCCACGTTTTAGGTGTACTTGCCATTGCTGCCATACCGAATTATTAAAAGGAGTACTGGAGTGCAAATGTTGTAAGGTAATAGGACCAGCTTTACAGAAAATGACTTTCAATGGCAGCATTGAGAAGGTATCGTGCATAATACAACATGCGAAATTTGAGCCTTTAGTTCACGAGGCTGTTTTAGAAAACGTTGGGCCACTATTAAGAGACAGAAATGGGCGTGCTTATCTCCGCCAAGCATCGCATTCATAAAATATTTAAGATAGTAAGATTGTACAAGAAGTTTCTCATTAACATTGTTTCATCAACAGTGATTTGTCTAATCTTATTTATTTCAGTTACTTGCAAGCTGTTGCAAGCAGAAGGTTGATGCAATGGTTTTGCAGATCTATGGGATGGAAGAACGTTCATCATTTACCTGCTTGTTTTCATCACTTTATTTGGAAGATATATCCAAGTCGTAACACAAAAGGATACATAGCATCAGAGGAGCAAACTTTAAAGTCCGTTGATTTGTTTAGAGACTGTTGACTTTCTTTGTTGAATTTAGAATTGCCAGGAAAAATGCCGAGATGAAGACCAAGCAGGAGATATATGTATGCACTAGATAAGTGGACATGCAGTTTACTGGTTTGAGACGAGAGGATACAGTAAAGAGGCATCTACTGAGTGGTTTCCTCATAGAGTAAGTGAAAGAAATTCTCTACAATGTCGCTCTCTGGAAAAAAGACAAAATAAAAAATATAAGAAACCATACCACAGCATATGGAAAATGTAAAAATGGAGAGTAGTAAGCCACATGAACTTATCTTATGAGGTCTTTCCACATGAATGCACTTTATCAGAAAAAGGCATATGCTCATCAATCAATTACAAAAAAAAAAGTTGCTATGAAAATGAAATTTAGTTAAATGATTGTGAAAGATAATTATCTTAAAATCTGACTAGCATACATACCTTTCAATATTTTATAAATACTGTGACCATCACACTGTAAAGGAGTACCACTTCAGATTGGGAGGCTAAGAGGGTACTATCACTTGCCTAAGGTGAGCCCCCAAGCCGGTGGATGGAAGAAGATTCCTTTTTTGTCCATTCCATACAGGCTCCTAGCTGTGTCTGACCACTGCCCTATGACTTACATCAGTTTATGATTCTTTAGTGTGGCATTGACAAGGAGGATATCTTTTCATTGGGGATTTACATTAAGTGCATTAGAGAGTGATTTCTTTTCTAGTATATGAAATTTGATCCGCACCATCTGTCAGGTCCTTAAACTTTTGCCTTTGTTATTCCACTAAAAAAACTTTGATCATTATATCTTAAAAAGTTTAACAAAACCACTTTCCCATTCCATCTCTCAACATCTTTTTTATTGTCTCTGAAATTGATCGTTTGGTGGGAAACTGGCTGCAGAAATGTTTGGTGTTTTTTCTTTATACTTTTCCATTATAGTTGAAAGTCCTTGTTCATTAGAAATGAAAAAAACGTTCTTAACTTGTTTAACATATTCTACAAGTTAGTATGTTAAAAAATTGGTTACCATGTATTTTAATACCCATAAATAAGCTGAAACACATTCTAAAAATTTGCATACCATAAAAAGTCTTCACTGATCTTTTCCGCACTATTTCTTCACTCAACTTATACATAGGAAAAATATATTGTACACCATTTGGCCATCCTTTGATATTTTTGACTGACGATGGACATTTTCATTAAATGAAGCACAACAATAACATGAATATCAAGAAAAAATTGAAAAAATTACCTCGGTGGATGAGAAAATATATTTATTCGCATTGTTATTTAGATGCCAATTGTTGAAGGTGGAATGAAAGCTTCCAATACAACTAGTCTGGCTATCTGGTATAAGTTTGCTTATATCTTACAAAATGCTTAGTTTGAGTAGAATAGAGCTTATATTATCATATGCAACAGTTCCTAAAAAAGTTGTAAAAAAGTGTTTCGAGAATATAGCGATGTGACAAACAGCAATTTTATTACTTTTCAATTTCCACGTTATCTAGATTAACATACATTACCTATAGGTATCCATTCCTTTCTTGGATCTGACCATGAGCACACGATGTAAATTATGTATCAGGGTGGTAATCTTGTTTTTTGGCCATGTATCTCACTCTACAATCCATTTAGCAACAATAAGCTCTTCACAACCAATTATATTAGATTGAGCACTCTCATATAAATGTCAGCAAATACCATTGAACCAATCATTGATTATTTCAATGCATTTCTCTTTGCTTGCTATCTTCAGTTCTTTTGTAATGCTTTTATTTACATGCCAGATATCATTAAAGTGCTTTGTGGAAATTCCTTTCTTCCTTTCGAAAGATACAACGTGCTTGATTTCCTTTTTTAAGAACAAGTTATGACGTTTCTAGCTAGCTAAAGAACAAATTCCAAGCTTCTATTTTTTATTACCATGGCATCGGTAGTACGTCTCACAAAAATAACTTTTATTTATTTGTTGCCTGTTGCAAAAATAACAGTGTTGTATTAAATAAAACCTGGCCCCAATTATGTTTTATTCATTTCGTTTTCGAGTGTTTTATTCTATTTGGGATACCCATGGAGTGATATTATTTAATTTTTACTTTTGTTGATGAGAAATTAAAAACAGAAAAACGTAAGCCAGAAATCAAAACAAAATGCCAATTGTATTGCTACTTATGTATTTTAAAACTATTCAAAAGTGGTAATAAAATATACACAACGAGAGATAGATTGCTTCTCTTTTTGCTATATATTCGTTGGCTTAAATTTCAATTAATTTGGTTTGGAAAATAATTGATGTGGAAACAAATTTTGACTCTAACGTTATATTAACATTTGCTGAATACAATCGAAAATTATAAAGAATAACAAAATCTATCGACCATTTAATATGTTGATCATGTGCATATTGTTAAAAAGAATTATAACGATTTGTGCGTATACGTATGCAGTGTTGAAAATCAATGGCTGAGTTTACTGTATTTTAAATACCGACTGAAAATCTGGGGAATGTGGATTCACTTTATTAAGAGGGAGAGAACGACCTTCCTTGTCAATGTACAAT